CCGGGCTTTGGTCTTTTTGTTTTTTTTTTTTTTTTTTTTTTTTTTTTTTTTTTTTGAAGGAGGGGTGGGGGCAAGGAAACTAAACCAGAGTCAAACTGCAGCCCGATTTCAGCCTGACACCTCGGCAAAATAACTCTGAAACAGCTCTGCGTAACAATCCCTACCGAGTACCCTGGCCATAACTATAAATCAACCCTGACTGTGTGTTCATGCAGTTGGAAATATGTAGGTGAGAAGGGAAAATGTTTTGAAAATGCTAAACATGTTTAGATTGCCCCGAAGTTTCTGATAAAATTCCTGCGGCAGAAAAGTCATTTTAGCTTCAAAACATGCCAGACCCAACACCACTATGTTTAGATATGGGAATGAGCAAAAACTATTGAAATAAAATATATGAAGATTTATACTAGAATGCATATGAAAGAAAGAAAGATTTAAGAGAGTGAAACCTCTCAGAGCATTTCACTTGCAAAGAAAGAAAATGAAGCATATGTGTTAAAGCTAGCTTTCTTTTAACTGATCCGTGTAAAACTCGTGTTGAATTGAGGAGTGCAATTTGGACACTGTGTACATATGTATTTAATAACAAGGTAAAAAATTCTGTTCTCATGAGACCTGGATTTTTAAGATTAAAAAGTACATGTGTGTACTTCAGCCTACATTACACTTGGCTGGATTTTTTGGTTTGTTTTTTTGCTGTGCAATTAATAATGGATTACTGATTCAAAGTTACAAAATTCATATTTAATCTGGAATTCTCTCTGAGCTGCGGTGTAAGACAACAGCTAACTGCTAAAGAAACTCAGACTGATAAAATTCAAGAAACTCGGTTATTACTCTGGAATATTCTTCATTCTCAAAACATTTTTATCGGTTTCCCAAGTGGCAGGCAGCTCCGCGGTATCAAAGGTGACCGAGTTACGTCTAACAACCCAGCAGTAAATGATTCAAAAGGAAGGGCATTGTACCCTTAAGTTAGTAATTTCGGTTATTGGCGCTTTATAGTCAGAATAAGGTTAATGCAATCCTCTGAAACTGACTTCTCCGTGTAAACTTGTTCAGCTGCCAGACACACAGCTAGGCACAGATTTTTTTATATTTTTTTTGACAATGCGATACTTTGAAAAAGACTAGATTTATGATGTAGCTGGAATTCTTTGCTTGTGATGAACGTAAAAGAGATCACTTGTTACAGGGACTTTTATAACCCATTCACCTTCATTTCACATGTTTATGAGGACTGCCTTCACTTATGATATACAGCCTGCAGCCATAAAGCTCTGGGTTATACGGTTATTTCTGATACAAGGTTGCTTCATCTTGGCTCCAAACTCCACGGAAGAGTGTCATAAATGACTTGTTTGCAGTGCGGACCTTGTTGTCACCCACCAGCTTTTCTGCTGGCCGAGGGGAAGCTCTGTTCCGTAAAACAGGCTCCCAGGGCACGTTGTTTTTTGTGTGAGGATAAAATGGGCGATGATAAAAAGATCTTTTTGCAAAGACGCTGCGGTTGTATGTGTTACTCCTGGGATGCCCAGGAAAGTTTTCCCCAGCCGTGGTGCTACCGAGGGCAGGTGATTAAAGCGGCTGTTTTTTCCGATGAGTTGGGAGTATCGGTGGCAGGTTCAGAGCTGCCTCTTTGCCCACCAGCTGGAGAGACGGCACAGGAGTGACGTGTCTTCTCCTCAGCTGGATGGAGCTGTAGTGGAGATGTTTCCTAGTTGCCCTGATGGAAGAAGAGCCAGTGCCTGGTGATCTGAACAGAGGTCCCCGGGTCAGCAACTCCCCAAATGTGAATTTTGCCTCTGCTGCAACTGCCCAGAGTTGCAGTCTCGCAGTACCTCTTCATGTCAGCTTTCCAGTCTTTGAAATGAAGATAGTCTCGTTTTAATTCTGGGACGTCACTGATAGATGCTATAAAAAACCCTCCTACCATCCCCGCTGCGTGTTAAAGTACTTTTTATAAACCATAAAGGCATAAATCATTTGCTCCCGCCTGCCTGTTTACGCCTGTGTTTGCCTACGCTTGGTTCTAGCCCTCGTCCCGGCGGCTGGGCTTGTCCTGTGCCAACTGCCACACCACGACCACCACCCTGTGGCGCAGGAACGCCGAGGGCGAGCCCGTCTGCAACGCCTGTGGCCTCTACATGAAGCTCCATGGGGTAAGCGGCCGCTTCGCCGAGGGAGATTGCCCGCCGGCTCTGATGGTCCTTTGGGAAAGGGCCGGTCGTCCCGCTGGCGGGCACCTGACAGCTTCGGGGGGTGGTGTTGGGCTTCCTCAAGTCGGGGCAATGTTTCTGTTGATGGTAATGGTCTTGGAACGTGGAGTTAGAAAAGAATGGGTACAAAATGGATAAAATGACCAAAAAATGCCCAGCATTAGAAAATGGTTATACTGTTTTAGCAAGTTATGCTTTTGACAAGTTATGTGTTTGCCGTTGTAGCTCTCCTGACAGATTTGTACAAATAAACCACCTCTGGATGAGTGGCAGAGGGTTTTTTTTTTGCCACCGGGATTTAAAGGAGCTCTTCAGTGGGAAAAAAATCCCCTAGACCTTTAATAAGACAGTTTTTCATGGACAGACGTAGCTATGCCAGTGAAACTTTAAATGTCCGTTCAGCCTTCGCTAGGCAATAATAGAGGAAGAAAATAGCTCTGTCCTGAATGTGATTGAGTACGTTCCGCGTGAGACTTGGAGCTTGTTATGGCCCTGTAGATTAAGTTACAGTCAAGCACAAGTGTTTGAAGAGTGAGGGCATTAGGAGTGATTGGGACTTGGTCTAGTCCTCAAGAAAAAAGTAAATTGTATCACGGGTTTAAACATTATAATGATAGTAAGCATATGCCTGAATTGTCTTTCTCCAAACTTATGTTATCGCTGAGTTAAAATATATTGTAAGCCAATGTTTTCTGTATAATGATTGTCGTTGTGATGACACAGAACACAAAACTGGTTTTTGAGTGTGTTTTCCCTATAAATATAAATTTGGATACTATAAAACTGTATCATCACGGGCAGAACTGCTTATAAGAACAAATACTAAGCTTCTGTCCTAAGACAGTTAACGGCGATGATCTGGTTTGTGTAGCTGGTCCACAGGAAGAGGAGTATTTTTTCCCCTCATTTGCATTCTTATTTTCCAGAATCAGCCACTGGACATAATTCCTAACTGACTGGAATAAGGAATCAGGGATCAGATGTGCCCCATCCAATTTAATTTCATATGACCTATGGCCAAATGACGCTGTTTTTCCCTAAAAGTGTGCTGTTTATCTGTGGACTGACTGATGTGTTGGGAAACCTGTTTAGTTTACATCAAGAAAAACGTTTCCCTGCTTTCTTTATTCAGCTAAAACTCCCCTTGAAACAACCCATTGCTTTGCCCAAATAAAATGCAAAGTTTTTTTGGAATTGATATTGTGACACAGGAAAAATTGACGTGCTATACAGGCATTTTCAGCATCACCATTTGATCTTGTAGTGTATTTTGATTTTTTGGTATTAGACTGCATATATAACTCTGTGATCGGTGTGGAAATTTAATTTTTTTCAGGTTCCCCGACCTCTTGCTATGAAAAAAGAAGGAATTCAGACCAGGAAGCGAAAACCTAAGAACATAAATAAGTCAAAGGCATGCTCTGGTAAATAGAAAAAGATAAGACAGTTGAGCTGCAAGAGTTTTTTTCCACTGGCTGGAAAATATTTGTTTTTAATACCAGTTCCCGATTTTTCAGGTAACAGTACTACTGCGGTTCCTATGACTCCAACATCGACGTCTTCTACTAACTCAGATGACTGTAGCAAAACCGCTTCTCCCAGCACACAGACTGCAGCCTCCGGGGTAAGCCATAAGCCCGTGTCCATATCTGTAAGCAGGCTGCTCACTCTGCAGTGTTATCACAGCTTTTATCTTATCTAGCAGAACAATAATCTAAACAAACTTTCCAGTTTTGTTAGCTGATACTGGAACAAGATTTTCGGAGGATATTACATATAGCTGTAAACAGAACGACAAGCTGAAGTACTTTACAAACCTCTTAATTAAGATCTATATAATTTTTATGATTAAGTTAACCACAGCTTAACTCCAGACATTTTGTTTTGAAACGTTCAGGTTCTTCCATTTCAAAGGTTTTCTTCTGGAGCACAAACAATAGATCAAGCCCAATTGATCCTTCCAAGAAACAATTGTGCATGTACCGCTTTTTTTCTGAAATGATCTGATACGAATTTATATTTCAAGACACTGCTGCTTTCACATTTTCCAAAAGCTGTTTTATATATATTTTTATATATA